CAGGGTGCTCAGGAGTGGTCCCAAGACCCAGCTGGGCCATGCTTGTTCGTGCTGTAGGGAGTATAGGGCTCCTGGAGGGAATGCGAGGGAGAGGAAGTTGAGGAAAGACATCCCCTAATCCTGGTGCATAGCATTCAACTTGTAGTTTGAGGTATGTAGTCAGCGTCTCCCTGCCTGTGGCTTCATCTCTTCATCTTATGGGTCTTAAGGCCTCTCTCACCATAAGGACATACCTGTGAAATGGCACCCTCTTGTCCCCATAGCCCCCTCAAACAATTCATTTCTTCCATTTATTGCCAGAAAAGCTGCTGTCCACACTTACCCCCTTTTCTCCTCCCCCAGTTCACTCCTTAATGCTCTGCTTTATCTCCCCTTGACAATGGTGCCCATAACATGCGGTCCCAGCTTTTGTGGCAGTAGCCTCTTGTGGCTTGGCTCCTGCTAGGACTGCCCTTCGTAAGTGTCCTTCAGGTCCCTCCTCTCCTTCACTTCCCCTTAAGAGGAAGATGTGGTTTCATCCTTGAACCCTCCTCCCTTCCCCCACCCTCACCCCCGAGCATCCTGTCTACATGGGGCCTTCAGTTTCCCAGATCTTGTCCCCATCCAGACCTCCCTTGTGAACAACAACCTGTGCTTTAGCTGTTTGTTGGTGTCTTCACCCTTAAGAGTCCAGCAGTCTCACTCTGGTGTGCCTTGGTGCAAGCCGCGCCTCCTTCCTGGAATGCTTTGGCCTGACTAACTCATTTTACTCTTCCAGAAACACCAGGCATCCCTGCCTTTGAGGAGCTATCTCTGGTTTCCCTGTCTCTCCCCGGGTCTGAGTGCATACCTTCACTGTTTATTCAACAAATACTGACTGAGTGCTTCCGTGTGCCAGGCACTGTTCTAGCTGGTGAGGGCACAGCAGAAAACTTTGTCCAAACACCGCCCTGTGTTGAGAGGTGTGTGTACTCACCCATAATCCATCGGTCTCTCCTGGAGGCCAGAGCTGCCTCTCACTCTGCTGGTCCTCAGCCATTGTTTGCTGAGAGCAAATCTGATTATGCCACTTTTCTTGCTTCTCTCTTCTCCCTTTTTTACTGTGGCTTTACTCTCTCTCCCAGGTGCAAAAACAGGAAATAGAATTTCATAATTACAAGATTAGTGTATAAAATTTCATCTCTTTTTGGATTCTATACACAATTCCTTGAAGTGTTTTTGTTTTGTTTTGTTTTTTTGGGGGGGAGTGAGGGGGAAAGGGTGAGGTATAAAGTGTGAGTTCAGTGCTTTCTTTGGTTGATGAATTTGCTCTGCTGTGGCTAATAATGAAGTTGCCTTCTGCTGAGTCCTTTGTTCAGAACTGAAGAACTCAGTTCTTTGAAAGGGATAACGGGACATTCTGCTTATATCTTACTAGAGGCCCAGTGCATGAAATTCCTACACTGGGGGTTGTGCCTCAGCCCAGCCTGCACCCTCTCCAACCTGGGACCCTTCAAGGATGTCTGATTGCCGGTTTAGGCACACAGGGATCGGGCCTAAAAGGGCAGTCTGACATCCCTCTCTCAATCCAGGACTGCTGGCTCCCAACTGCTCACCTGCCTGCCTGCCTGATTGCCCCTAACTGCTTTTGCCTGCCAGCCTTATCACCCCCTAACCACTCCCCTTCTGTCCTGGTCACCCCCAACTGCCCTCACCTGCTGGCCCAATGGCCCACAACTGCCCTACCCTGCCAGCCATATTGTGGTGGCCATCTTGTGATGACATGGGCATGGCCATCTTGTGCAAGGGTGTGGTGGTCAATTTGCATATTACCTCTTTATTATATAGGGTTATATAGGATTCTAGGTAGTGCCTGTGTCTATGAATACCAAAGCATTGTTATGTTGTTGGAGACAAACATGAAGTTTTCAAATGTTCTTATCTTGTAATACCATTGCCCCTTTTTCCAGAAACAAAGCCACACAAAGCAATAAAGCTAGACCATTTATTTTGGGGCAGGTACTGGTAGAATTGTCAGATGAAATACCGGACATTCAGTATAGTGACACTTCAGATTATCCATGAATACATTTTTAGTGTAAGGATGCCCAATATTGCACAGGACATATTTACACTTAAAAATTATTTATCATGCCGTTGAAATTCAAACATGATTGGTGTCTTGCATTTTTATTTGCTTAGTCTGGCAACCGTGATTTGAGCAGAAGGCCGTTGTTGGGATGAACCATTTTTACCTCTCATTTTTGGTCATGGCAATGTGCCAGAGGAACACCCCCATATTTGGTGGCAGTTGCTGCTTCGCTAACTTTATATCAGCCCCACTTTTAGAAGGTTTCTCAACCCTAAGCTGCAGGAACAGTAAGAAGGCACACTCACTCCATTGCACTTCCTTCAACCTGGAGGTGTGACATCAGGTGTTACAATTTTGCGTGGTCGGGAAAATGAGATCATAGATGGCTAGCCATCCATCATCCCCGAGGTTCCTTGCCTGTTATAGAAGTGGAAGTTGTGTGATGTGGAAGCAATAATTTTTTAAGTATTCCGTTTATAATGTAGAGTGTGTTAAACTGTCTGCCTCACAGTCTTGGGAGGAACAATAGCATTCCCTGTGGGGCCCAACTTGGGTGGGCATAATAATCACCAATTTCAAAGTCACATTGATGCTTAGGATATACCCCAGAGATTCTGATTCAGGGTCTGGTGGGGCCTGAACATGCCTGACTTTCCCAGAGCCCTCCCTCTGGTCTGGCTTGCAGCTGAGTTGAGACCAGCTGAGTTTCAGCATCATGTGTTGTATTGAAGTATTCTCTGAGTGCCAGTGCGGAGGAGGAATGGTGAGTGACAGAATCCTTGCTTATGGCGTAATCACATGCAGGTTTACTTCTGAGCCATGACTCACTGGAGGGGCTTCCAAGCTCTTCCAGGTGTGGCCCACATGATCAGAAACCCAGGTGTGTGCCAACTGCATTTTCAAAACCATTGACAAGTGGGGCTGGTGAGGGTCAGACTTGACATACTAGAATGCCTCAAATTGGAGTTGAAATTTTATGGGAGCTTGAAATTTTATGGAGGTGGCAATGGTACTCATACTTATTTTCCAATTGTCATTAATCTGTCATGCTGTGCAGTTTGTTGGTGTGACTTTAGTGGTGTTAACATGGGAAAGTTAAAATTATGTGTGAAACAGAACATAACTTGTGCCGAACTCAGCACGGCCAGTTTCGGTGAGCCTGAGGAAGGGCGGTGAAAGATTAAAGAAGGCAAAGAGAATACAGCTGGGGCTGGGTGGATCTCTGACACACAGACACCCAGCTTGCAAGCTGAAGCTTTATTTTATAGTCAGAGCACACAGAGCAAAACAAGGGTAGTGGTCAACATGTTTACAATGTTCTTGTGAGTTTCACCTTGTTTTGGCAGCATTTGCTACACCACTCACAGCCCATTAGCTACCTAGGAAGGAACTAGGGAGGACTATAAGGTCAGGCTTAATTATGCTGGAGGGCTCTGCCCTCCAAGCTGGGACTTGTTTGTGGCCCTGCCACAGGTCAGTCCAAGGCTTGACCCTATAGCCACTCCCTACAATAACTAAACGTAAGTACTGACTGAGAGAAACCTGTCACAGTGATACTTGCTAGCAGTTGTATAGCAAATGATAGCACCAGGCTGCTGATCTAGATCTCTCCCAATTGGTGCCACCTCATCAGGTTAACAAATTTGTTAATTATTTGGGAGAAATAATTAGCCTTCTCTTCTACTTTTGTGACATACCTATTTATAGTAGAGCTCCTTGGTTTTGGTTCAAATTTCTTTTCAACCTACCTGCCTTTGAGGAAAGATATTTGGTTTTCATTAAGTGTTTTGAGGTTTTCTGAAGTGTATAATTCTCTACACATTATCCTCTCCTTCCCAGAATAGCTTTCCATATATATATTTAAATAAATTTTTTTTGATTTCAGAAAGGAAGGGAGAGAGAGAGATAGAAACATCAATGATGAGAGCAAATAATCGCTCGATCTCCTGCATGTCCCCTACTGGGAATTAAACTTGTAATCCAGGCATGTGCCCTGACTGGGATTTGAATTGTGACATCCTGGTTCATAGATCAACACTCAACCACTGAGCCATATCAGCCAAGTGCTTTCCATATATTAAAATAAAGAATAATAGAGGTCATCAAATAAGGTCTTCCTAAATCTCTCCTCTACCAGAAATGTGTCTGTGGTCATGTTCTTCTCCCTCTTTGTTTTTCTATTGTTCCAAAGCTAATCTATCCCTGCTCAGGAGGCATCTACTTCTGCTTATTTGGAGGCCTTGCTCCATTCATTGTCCCTTCTCTTACTTCAGACTTTTTTTTTCTCCATTGACTCTTACTTTAACATATAAGTATACTCATATTTTTTCATCTTAAAATAAAAAATCCTAACAGTATTTCCTCCTACTACCACATCTCTCTTCTCAGCCAAACACTTAGAAAGAGAAGCCCTTAGTTGCTTTCTTCACTTTCTCACTTCCTATTCACTTCTCCACCCAGTGCCATAGCCAATGGCATTTGTAGTTTTCCTGTTCTCCTGATAACATTTGACTATGTTTAGGAAGTTATGGATGGAACCCAAGACTGGGTCAAGTGTGTGCGCTTGGCAAGGGGAGGCGGGTGGAGTGGCTGCAGGGCCTTTTCTGTAAGGTGGGTGCATGGAGGGAACTCTGGGCACCATTGGTCCCTAGTAATCAGGTGACCACAGAATGTGTGCTGGTTGGCTGGTGCCAGCCAGGACAACTGCCTTCAGTTGAGAAGCAACTGTGGGAGGAGGAGCTTTGGCTGTGCTCTCCTCTTGAAGTGGTTGTGATTCTCAGCAGTTGTCTGATCACCACACCTTTTAAATAAGTCAGGCTGCTTACCATCCTCACAGACTAGTCAACTCAGTGGAGGCAGTAGCAGCTGACACCAGCGTGGCGTTGTCGGGCGGGGGTGGAGGGGACTGCTGAGCAAAGGCGGTGGCAGCAGCCAGGAGTGGAAGTTCCTAATGGGGAACAAACTGACCTGCTGCCTGACGTCCAATGCCAGCCCCAGGCTGGGCCAGCACTCTGGGTGGGTGAATCGGGATGATGGGTCTGGTGTCTGCGTGGCGGGCACCAGGAACTCCGTGGCAGCACCACCAGCCCCAACTGCCCTGGAACCTGCTGAGTTGGATTTCCAAGCCTGCGAGGGCCACCCTGTGCTGTGCCTCGGTGACCTGGAAATGCCCAAAGGTAAGGAGCTGGCAGGTGTTTGATGCTCACAGGCTTACCTCTGCCTCCCCTCACCCCAGGATTTCCTAGAAGGGAGCCACCATCAGCCTCCTCCTTGCCTGGAGCTTGTTTCCAAGAGCTGGCTCTTCTTGGCATCCCCACCCCTTAATTCGTTTCTGGTCATGTCTGGCCAGTTTCTTTCCCTTTTCACTACCCAGACCCCTGGTTCTTTCTTCTGTTCCCAACTCAGCCTGAGACACTCCAGTCAGTGGCCCTTCCTGTGCATGCATGGCTCTGTTTAGTGCAGGGGTGGGCAAACTTTTTGACTCGAGGGCCACAATGGGTTCTTAAACTGGACCGGAGGGCCGGAACAAAAGCATGGATGGAGTGTTTGTGTGAACTAATATAAATTCAAAGTAAACATCATTACATAAAAGGGTATGTTCTTTTTTTTTTTTTTAGTTTTATTCATTTCAAACGGCCCGGATCTGGCCCGCAGGCTGTAGTTTGCCCACGGCTGGTTTAGTGTCTCCTGGGACTCTATGAAGACTTCTGGGTGTATTTTCTTCCTTTTCTCAATGAAAACTTCATACCCCAACCTCAGAGTACCCATCATCTCCCTGTCCTTACCTATCCATGTGGCACTTAAGTGAAGGAACCAGGTAAAGCCTGGTTATACCCTTGCTCTCACCTGTTAAGATAATTGATGTTCGGGATAGTTCAGCTGCAAAGATTTTAGGATTTTTTATTTAAATTCAAAACAGATAACCAACATAGAACCTGTATGGTGTTTTTAAGTAAGCTGTTTTCAGTTGCCTGGATAGAAGTTGCTTTATTCCTTCCAACTATAATTTGAACACAGAAGGAAATGGTGGGGGAAGGAACTGGGCATGATGTGAAATGTTACTGCCAGTGCTGCAGAGAATCGTTTTTTGCATGTTTATTTTTTACACAAAGGAGAACCCACATAGTTCTGATTACTTTAATATATCTACTTTGACACAAATATGTCTTCAATCTTACTTCACTGACCTAACAGACTTCACTTTCATATTATTTGTTCTAAAAAGGGGTGGGGTGGCTCACAAAAGTGCTGCTCACAAGTATCAAAAGAGAAGAACACATAACTCTAGACTTTAATTTGTAACATAATGTTTTGGGGGTTAAGACGCCATATTGTGCACAAGAATATTTGTCTCCATGGCTCCCTCTCCATCCTCTCCCCTCCTGCCAGCAGATGCCTGTTTAACTGTAAGAATGTTGAGGTAAAAGTTCTAAAGACCAGATGCCTAAAGGGGTGGGGTGGGGTGGGGAGTGGAGAAGAGGAAGGAGAGAGAAAGAAAATAGGAAATAATTGGTTTAAAATAATTCTGGGTAACAAAGTAGCTAACAAAGACTGTGTTGCTTTTTTTGTTTTGTTTTGTTTTGTGTTAATCCTCACTGGAGGATATTTTTTCCATTGATATTTAGAGAGGGTGGAAGTTGGGGGCGGTAAAGAGAGAGAGAGAAAAACATTGATTTGAGACATATTGATTGGTTGCCTCTGCACACACCCCACCCCAAGGCCTGGGAATGAACCTGCAAACCCAGGTACATGCCCTTGACGGAATCAAACCCTCAACCCTCTGGTGCCCGGGCCAATCCTCTAACCACTGAGCTGCGCCAGCCAGGGCAAGACTGTGTTTTTTTAAGTAGAAAACATTCTTTCACAAAGATGTTAAAACCCCATTATTTCGTAGAGTAAATGTATTATTAGCTCTGGTTCTATTTATCTTTAGTTGAGCTTTTAATTTCTTTAAAAGTAGCCGGTGGGTTCCCCTGGGTGCACGTGGCTTTCTAACTGAAAAGTACTCCCTTTTGAGCATACTCAAATATTATGGGGAAAAAATGAACAAATTAGGAACATAAATTTAGGATTTAATTTGTAACATAAAATCTTAGGAGTTAAGACTCCATATTGTGCACCTTAAAACATAAAGCAAGCGATTACCTGTGAAACCTTCTGCTTGCTCTGCTTGTGCTGTAAGGTGAGCCTCTGAGTGATTTTACAAACAGTTGGTAGATGAGTCGTGTTGGATGAGAGACCAAATTAGGACCTTTATATCATTCTTTCAAGATTTACAACTCACAGGTATATCTCATTTGGCCCTTCTAACTGCAAATAAAGCCTCATGAATATTCTCCCTCTATTGCTGATGGAGAAATCGATACCTACAGATGTGAAATGACTGTGTAACACAGCTGCTGGACAGAAGAGGCCGATGTGGGGGTGATAGATGTGCCAAATGCCATTTTGTTGATGTGTGAAAAAACTTTATATTATTAAAATTCAAAAGTAGTTGTTTTGTATTCCTGCCAAAATAGATGATTGTCCCACCTTGATGCAAGGTGGACTGCAGGCAGACCTACCTTTACATAGTTACAGCGCATTTCATTTGTACAAGCAGCCCTAGGGTCAGGTCCAGACGTATTCTTATTGAAGTCTCAAATTAGTCGTGAGGCATGGAAGGAAGAAGTGAAACTTTAGCTTTGGAAATTGAGGGCAGAATTTAAAAATCACTTTGATGAAAGTATAAAAAGTCACTACCATGAAAGTAGGGTAGAGCATTGAGCTTTTATGCTATCCTTTTAAATGTGCCGTGATGAATAGCCCCAAGTGAGCTGCAAATAACTAAATATGTTCATTTTTTTAATGGAGTTAGAATTAACCTAAATGTGTAAAGAACATTTGCCAAGAACAGCTCACGTGATTTGGGCATATTTGACATACTAGCAGGTATCTGACACTAATTGGCCATAGTATAACTTGCTTCTTGACACTTTCTGGAATGTGCTAGTAATATCAAAATAAAGGAGAGTGACTGTATTTCTAATTGATAAAGTAGAAGGTGGGAAACACATATATGGTTCAGAGATTACTTAGGTACAAGTTAAAAAAAATCTAAAACATAGCCTGGTTTTTTTCCACATAGATGGAAAGATTCTACAATTTTGAGTTTTCCCAGTAGAATTTTTATGTTGTTGCCTTTACTAAAATTGGCTTGTTACCATTACTTAAAAAATCTCTTCCCAACACTGTTATAAGTGATTAAAAGTGATGTGTAGCTATTTTTAAAATTATGTATTTTCTACTCAACTAAATTAGTATGTTTTTTTCTCTTCTTCCTATATAGAGTCGGTTTTAGAATTAATCCCTTCTGACCATCCAAAGGCAAGCACAATTTTCCTGAAGAAATCTCAAATGGATGGTAAGTCAAGATAGGATGTAGGTCACACGTTTTTATTTGAAGAAATCAAAAATATCTGCTGTTTATATATGAGGATTGACTTTGTGATCTTGGCTTTATTTTACATATCACTCAACCAAGTGATCCTGTCTCGCATCTAGAACCTTTAAGCTATTCAAACTCTCTCGCCCTATGTCATGCTGCCAGGGTGCATCAGAGGAACAGAGCCCTATGGGGTCCCTCGGAGCTTAGCACCAGCATGTGCAACTCTGCCAATTTCCTGTGTCCTGTTTGTGTTAGGGTAAGAACCAGTGTAGGATTTTGACGCTTCTGCTTGCCTGCTTATTTTCCTTAATGTTATGTTCAGTCGAGTTTACTTGCTTAAAAAGGCATATATGAGCAAATCTTTCAGTTGATTATGAAAGCAGAAGTACAAGAAGTGGCGGTTCCATTTTATTTGAAGCCATGCAGCACAATACAAAATGGGGTTTTAACACTTGTTTTCATGGCATGTGTGCATTTTGACTGTCTGAAGCTGATCATTTTTGGTTAGGATTGCTGTATTTCTCAGTTTCTTCCAGAGTCATGGTTCTGCTCACGTGTAGAGAGAGGGTGAGCCAGTAAAGGAGAAGCTATCCCGTGCCCCTATCTTCAGTCCTAAGGAATGTGTGCCTATGATGCCGTCCTGCATAATAAAGGAGGCAGTGTGGGAAACAGAGTCCAGCCCAAGACCCTCTTTGGAGCTTTTATTTTTCTTCTGATCTTTGTTAGAGCGAAATGATTTTGTGCGTTGTACATATGTTTAGTTAGGTTAGCCACATCATTGTAAAATTTAAATTAGATCAGTTACTTTGCAATTGAGTAAAGACCCATTCATATTTTTATTTTTTCCTTTATTTTATTTATTGTTTAAAATATTACACATAGTAGTACATATGTCTTCTTTTTCCCCCATGGACTTCCCCCTGGTCTCTCCTACCCCCGACACATGCCCTCCATTCATATTTTCTTAGTAAAATATCCTAGTTGATTACCAGTCAGTGGTTCAGGATGCTTCCAGGTGCCTGGCGGTTCTTAGAGCTCTCGACTGTTAGATCCTGATGATTCAAGTAGCGTGGGTATAAATGTAGAATTAGAAACTGCAATTGAGTAGTGGTTCAGAAGCACAACAGTTAAACTTCTTCATTAGCTAAGTGTCTCACTGGCCTAATTTGCTTTGCCCTTTTCTTTTGTACGTGAAGAGACTTTTATTTGTACCTAATATAGAATATTTTTTGTTAGGTCAGAAAAGTAAAAGTTTTAAGATTTTACTTTATGGGACTCATCTTGCCAGGTGATTTAAATTATAAACTTTGTTAAAAATTATTTTAAAAAATGGAATAAAATTTTGTCATATTTTGTATGTTGGTAGTCTTTCAACATACGAACTTTTGTTTTCCTATGGTATTTGTATCATAATTGATCAGTTAACATTTTTTTTTATTCTTAGTGGGAGAAAAGAAGAAGAAGAACTATTCATACCATGTAAGTAAACAGTTGAAAAGTTAAGTAAAAAATTAATAATTTGAATTAAAAATTGTCTGCCATGGTTTTTAAAAATATATAATGGACCTAATATCATTAGCATACACCTTTTTTGGTAGATTTTCTAAATCTCTTTTGTTATCTTAATTATTAAACTTATATATTCAGGAAAATTTTTGGCTTAGTAATGTCCATTTTTTAAGGAGTTCTGACTTTACATTAAATGTCAATAAATGGTTATGGTAGAAAGACCTACCTTAATTTTTAATCTTGTTTTTTAACAAAATAAATAATAAAATAGCTAAGTCAATTTTTAACACTATCTATTGACTTATTGTCATAGCAGCCGAAAGCTAACTCTCTCACTCTGGCATAGCCTTATTTCCCTCCCTCTGTCCCCTCAACATGTATCATGGTTTTTATTAAATCAGAATCAATGTTTACATTATTATGACTATTTTTTGCTGCTGAGCCATGGAGTTCTCTGGCTATGTCTCTTTCTTGTATACCCTTCATTCTTTTTCTCAAATATTACTGAAATTTGAGCACTTCTACACTTCTCCCGGATAATCCACCCCCTTCTTCCTAGTCAACATGATCTCACACAGCCAAATGCAGCAAGTAGGCTGGTCTCCCATTTTTCAAAAATAACATATTTTGTACCTAATTATCTAGTAATTTGTCTGAAAAAGATAACTGTCAGACAGAAATACTACTTTTATGGTACATTAACATAATACCTAATAAGTCCTCATTTGTGTGTGTGCGGAATTAATTTTTTTACTATATTCACTTTTTGTTTGCTAATAGTTCCCCGCCCCGTCCCCCCAGAAAATGGTATAACATTTGTCACAGTTTTGTCAAAAATATTTTCCATTTACTGAACACATTTGTTCCATGTTCTAGTGGAAGCCGTCTCCCCCAGCCTTTGTTATCTATTCTACTTTAGACTTGTTTTCCCTGGGCCTGTTCTGTTCCTGTTTTGCTGGCCTATTTCTTTAAGATCATCTGGGATCTCACATAACTGTTCTCTTGTGTTGGATCCCCTATGTCTTAGATCAGTGATTTTCAACCTTTTTCATCTCATGGCATATATAAAGTAATTACTAAAATTCTGCAGCTCACCAAAAAATATATTGTTTGCTGATCTGACAAAAAATAACAGGTGTAATTTTGATTCATTCACACAGGACATCTGTTGTTGTGTTTTCTGTTGTCATTTTATTATTTGACAATCTAAAGGAAAAGAGGTCAGTGCCCCTGTCTAGTCAGGTATTGCATGTTTTAAAAATTCTTGTGGCACACCAGTGTGCCATGTGGTACACTGGTTGAAAATCCCTGTCCTGGGTTGTATATTTGCCTCTCTCTTGTTATACTCCCTTGTTTTACTGGAGCACTGTTCCCTGGGAAAGGATACATGGGCAGACATTTTCTAGAGATCTAGCCTCTCTGAAATGCCTTCTATTTAATGAAGTACAGAGTTCTAGGTTGAAATTAATTTTTGCAGTTCTAAAGACATTTCTATTATTTCCTGGAGACAAAGTCATTGTATGATATGTTGTATATTACCAATTTTGGTAATTTCCTTCATTCCTTTATTCTCTGGACACTTTTAGAACCTTCTGTCTTTCTGGGATTCTGAAATATTATAATGTGATTTGGTATGTACCTTTTCATTTTATTGTGGTCATCAAGACTGCAGGTCTTATCTACTTTCGGGGAAATTTTTGTTGTTAATTCTCACTCAAGGATATTTTTTCCATTGATTTTTAGAGAGTGGAAGAGTGGGAGGGAGGGAGACAGGGGGAGAGAGAGGGAGAGCAGGCG